GAATGTTTAATTTGAAGCGGGTTCCCAAAGGTGTAATGGGTACTGCAATGGATTTTCACACTGGCGACCCGGATTCGATCCCCCGTGTGTCCGATTTTTAAAATCACTTTTTCAGTTTGATTTTACGTTGTTTTTTTCTGAATCGGACGGAAGACCTCTCGTTGCTCGCAACGAGTTTCGTTTCTAGTTCTTATTATTATTATTATTTTTCTTCCTGGGAAAATTTTGTCCGCGAGTGATCTTGTAAACTACACATCCGACTTAGGTGAAACCTTTTTAGGGTAAGTAGGCATGTTATGTAGATTTGCGGAATCAAGGTCATTTTGCGCGCACGTGCTTGCAAGAGAGCGCACGTGCAAAACTTAAAATGACCAATATAAATGGATATAACCGTAACTTTTCTATTTTGTGACGAAATGTTTTGAAACTTATAATGTAAGGATAAATTAGTAGTAAGCACAAGATGACATGGTCAAAATAGCAAGATCGCACGCGCATGCACGTGCGCTTCGCTCTGATTGGCTGAAACTAAAGTCTCAATATCTTTTTTGTTTTTTGATAAAATCATTTGAAATTTTGAACATAGTCATATATTAGGGAGATCTACAGCCTGTATTATAAGATTTATCATGAAAGCATGTGCATGCACATGTGCTTGCAAGAGCTCGCACGTGCAACACGAGAAATGTCCAATATAATTGATACAGACGTAACTATTTAAATTATTGATGAAATGCTTTGAAACTCATATTATAAGTATATATTAGAAGCATAAACAAAATGACATGGTCAAAAAAGTAAGATCTCACGCGCATGCACGTGCGCTTCGCTCTGATTGGCTGAAACTAAAGTCTCAATATCTTTCTTGTTTTTTGACGAAATCCTTTGAAATTTTAAACATAGGCATGTATTAGGATATCATACAATAAGATGTATAGCAATTATCATGAAAACGCGTGCATGCACATGCGCTGCAGTCTGATTGGCTTATGCTTTAAATAGCTATAACTCCCTTGGTTTTCAACCAAACAGGATGGGATTTGGAACATAGATAGATATAATGGACTTCTACAAGATGGTGTAGTCATCATGCACATGCATACACGTGCGTGTACGTGCACTGCAATCTGATTGGCTGAAACTTTAAACAGCTATAACTCCCTTGGTTTTCAATCAAACGGGGTGGGAATTAGAACATAGATAGATGTAGTGGACCTCTACAAGAAGGTATGCCATCATGCTCATGTATGCACGTGCTTCTACGTGAAATGAGTAAAATCAAAAATACAGTTTAATGAGCGTATTTCTTTTATACTTTTGGATTAAATACTTTAATATTTAGTATATTGAAATATATAGATTGTATAGACAAGATGATATAGTCTTTACGCACATGCATTCACATGCGCACGCTTGGAATTCTAAAATTTGAATGAACTTGGTACTTTCTGGGTAAAAGTTGTTAAAGCCTCAAATGCATAGAGTTTGTCTTATTTAAAGAAGCTTACAGGGAATGTGGCACCAAAAGGAAGTTGGGGAGCGTTTGGGGAACATCTGTAACGGTCCCCGTTACAATTAGCACTAGTTTTTTTTATTTTTATTTCATGCTTGTAAACATTGGCATCTAGGGTTAGAAAAAGTAAATTTAGATAGTTTCACTAAAAGAAATCAATTTTTGTACTTTTATGGGTACAAAAGTCAACTTTTTACAATATTTCAAGTTTCATTTTGAAATAAAATAGTAATTTTATGAGTTCTTCACCACAGCGGCATATATCCCTAACATTAAATGACATACATGTAATTTTACAATTTTTTAATTTATTAGCAGCCTGGGATTTCATCAGGGCTGTGAAAAACTTTCAAATATCTTTGATATGTATCAGTATTAGGAGTTTCAAAAGTTTGATTATAAGTCACACAATCTTAAAATATGCTTTAAAATAGTGAATACAGTAAAACATGCTTAAAACTAAGTTCCAGGGACATTCTGTTTTTAGCTCACCTGAGCCGAAGGCAAGGGGCCACAATGGCCGACCAAAGTTTTACGTAGAAATATATAGGAAAATTCTTTAAAAATCTTCTTCTCAAGAACAGAAAAGCTTTAATTGCTCATATTTATATGGAAGCATCCCCAGGTAGTGTAGATTCAAGTTTGTTCAAATCATGACGCCCGGGGGTAGGGCGGGACCACAATGGCCGACCAAAGTATATATGAAATTCTTTAAAAATCTTCTTCTCAAGAACAGCAAAGCCATAATTGCTCATATTTATATGGAAGCATCCCCAAGTAGTGTAGATTTCAGTTTATTCAAATCATGACCCCCGGGGGTAGGACGGGGCCGCAATTGCCGACCAAAATTTTATATAGAAATATATAGGAAAATTCTTTATAAATCTTCTTAAGAACAGCAGAACCATAATTGCTCATATTTATATGGAAGCATCCCCAGGTAGTGTAGATTCAAGTTTGTTCAAATTGTGACCCCCGGGGGTAGGGCGGGGCCACAATGGCTGACCAATTTTTTATATAGAAATATATGGGAAAATTCTTTAAAAATCTTCTTCTCAAGAACAGTAGAGCCATAATTGCTCATATTTATATGGAAGCATCCCCAGGTAGTGTAGATTCAAATTTGTTCAAATCATGACCCCCGGGGGTAGGGGGGGGCCACAATGGCCGACCAAAGTTTTATATAGAAATATATAGGAAAACTCTTTAAAAATCTTCTTCTCAAGAATAGCAAAGCCATAATTGCTCATATTTATATGGATGCATCCTCAGGTAGTGTAGATTCAAGTTTGTTCAAATCATGACCCCCGGGGGTAGGGCTGGGCCAAACTTTTGGATTTAAACTTTTCAATAGTAAACCAATTACAGCCTACTCCGGATATATTGAAATTCAGGGGACTATGCAAGTTATTTCAATATATCCGTAATTCAATATAAGCGAAATCGTGAAGCCGCCATTTTTACAAGTTCAATCCCGATCTAAAATAAAGAAGAACAAACCCAAACAAATCAACTTTGTTTTCGTTTATCCATAACAGTAAACAGATAACATAGAATATGAGTCCTTGAAAGTTTAGATATTTTTTTTTTTCTGTTTCAATTTTTTTTATTTCTGTTTCATTGAAAAGACAATCTTCAACATCATTATTATTCCCCGATCGCATTTATTTACGGTTTGGAGAAAATTCACCGGACTTAACCGGTTGAGTACTGCTGAACGCTGATTGTATTTCATAGTAAGCGTACTCGGTCTAATCCCTTAGTTATTTCGAGTTTAGGCATATCAATAGCCATTAAAGTACGTATTTCATTTTAAAGTTATGTTTTTCTTCTAGATCTGTGGGGGTTACTTTATTACATTTAGCTGTTTAGTCTCGATATGTTCGTATTATACACGTGGACGCAAAGAATTCAACAGTGAAGAATTTTATTTCGTAAGAGCATGCAGTATAAAAACACAGAAGGTGAAAACTTAATTATTCACACCTTTGTATATCAATTGGTCAATCAGGCATAATTACTGTCACCAACCGTAACGACAGCCGCCAGGGAGTACTTCAGTATAACCGTTATGAAAACAACTCATTATCACCTGTGGGGACCGATCAGTGGCTTCAATATAAGCGAAATTTCAATATATCCGATTTCAATATAACCGTTATTTTAATGCAAAGAATATGAGAGGCAAAAACTGGGGATTTATTTCTGTTTCAAAATAAGCGGAATTTCAAAATAAGCGAGTTCAATATAAGTGGAGTAAGCTGTACTACTTTTTCCTAGCCACAATGCTCGGGTGAGCGATGTGGCCCATGGGCCTCTTGTTAATTATCACAAATGTAGTAAGTCATGGCCATTGAGTTTATAATATGTTGTTAGATTACAAGGAATGAAAATCTCTTTCATTGTTCTAAGTTTTCATGCATTATAAGTTTTTTCACTATATCCATATTTACTGAATAAACTTGAAATTCTCAAGGGATCTTTAGCTTCATATTTTGAACTACCTCATATTCAGAATCTTTGGAGATGGATGTCATTAAAGGATGATCTTATTTTTTTCAGTCCCACGGAACTTGTGTTTGTTTATCTAACCTGGACTTGATGATTTTCCCCTGGAACTTTTTAAAACCAATCAGCAAGAAGAAGACAGGAAGTGCCACTGGTCGCTATGGTCACAGTGTCACTTCCTGTGGAGAACATGCGGATTCCTTTTATATGTTTGGAGGATACTCTCAGGAAGATGGCGCTCTAAGTGACATCTGGATCTATAATCTTACCACGTACATGTGGAGTGAAGTGGTGCCCATCACCACGAATCATCCTGATGGCAGGTATGGATCATTTATAGTACATGTATCAGCTAAGCTATGTATAATATACAACTTTGATGTCTCCAACACTGACATCTTTAACTGCTATATATGACAGTGCATCAATGGCAAAATGACTTAACTGCTGTTCTGTAATGTTTTTAACCATTTTGTAATACATTTTAAACAAAGTTGGGCATTTCCTAAAAAGATGTTTCAAGAATTATTGCTGGGGTTTTAAGATTGTCAACTATTTCCTTTTAGATTCTTTCACCAAGCCGTCTGCAGTCCGGCGTCCAAAGAGATTTTTGTGTATGGAGGGGTGGTGAGGAATAGAGATGGAGCTTATAAAGCAACCAAAGAATTCTGGAAATATTCCATTGGCTCCAGAATGTGGCTCAATCTTACTGAAAATGTACGGCCTTTATCTTTGCACTTATAAAAATTTAAGACTGTAATTGAACAAGAGACCTTATTTTGAAAAGAAATGAGACTTCTGAAAGCACCTTATGCATGTTCTAGATTCTTTTCTTTGAAAAAGGTTGCCTTGAAATGATTTTGTTGTTACTTTGACAGATACCAGATGATTTCAGTCCACTTGCGGGACATTCCATGACCTTGGTGAAGGAGCGATTTCTGGTGGTTATTGGGGGGATATCCTCGGAGGACTATTTCTCCAGTGATATCTATATCTATAACACAATGTATGAGGACAACAAACCAGCATGGAGCAAATACAGTCTCGGCAGTCTACCCAGGGGTGTGTATGCTTCAGTAACAGTTTTCACAAGAAAAAACCCATCATTTCAAAAACTAAAAAGTTTAAAGAAAGCAATCAGTGCACAGAAAAAATATTTATGATCAAAATCGGCAGCCACCATGATTAAATTTTTTATTGCACTTTAGTATTGACACCTGTTTTTAAATGACTTGAGTAGTTATTTGTGTTTATATGATTTTTAGAAAAAAATATATTCTTACTACCAGGGTTTATGTATAGATGATAAATGAGTGAATCTTGTGATGGAGCTGCTGACCTGTAAACAATGCAGCATTTCAGCAGTGTTTCATACAGTAAGCTAGCTCTGATCTCTTGTACAGGTTTATATGGTCACAGTGCAGTATATTATCCAGACAAAAGCATTATCTACATTCATGGAGGAATGGCATTTAAACAGTCCAAGTTTGATGTTTCAAGGGATACTTATGTGTATGACATGGAGAAGAATATGGCTTATTTTATACATACCAGGACTCACGAACAGGTATAATTAAGGCCAGTTATATAAGTTAATCATGTATAATTGGTTAAAGTCATCGATATCACCATATCTAAGGTTAGATAGAAAAAGATACTGTAAATGTAATTTCATTTCAAGAGGGTAAAATTCCAAAGAATCCAAATGTCTGTTCATATGTCTGAATTACACTCTGAGTAAAGTGTGTTAAATTTCTGCTGAAAATTTGTGACCCCATATATTCCACACCGCTATGTGTGCCCAGGATGGCGTTGTAATTTGTGTCCAATTTTAATAATTTCTGGTTTTGTAGGCTTTGCTGCAAGTGTTGTGCATGCCCTGGATGACTTTGTTATTGTTGTCTGAGTTTAATAATTTCTGGTTTTGTAGGCTGTGCCGCGAGTGTTCCACACTGCTGTGCGTGTCTTGGATGACTTAGTTTTATTATTTTCTGGTTTTGTAGGCTATGCCGCGAGTGTTCCACACCGCTGTGCGTGCTCTGGATGGAATGTTGGTGATTGGGGGAATGGGAACCAGAGGACAAATAACAAATTACATGTCACTCTTCAGATTCAAGTGCAGCATATGGCACAAGTACCAAACAGACTCAGGTATGACTGGTATGCTAAAGATCTGATTTCTGTTGTTTTAGTAGCATTTATAGCTTTACAGTGATATACAGTTTAAAGCAAATGATGAGAATAATTGTCTTTTCAGATGAACGTAGTTCATCGTACAGGAAAATGACCAACTCATTAATAGGAGCTAGTTCCATCCGCCAGAGGAACCGCATTTATGTGGTGGGGGGTTACAATGGCACCACCTATAGTCAGATGGTGGAGGTGGAGCCTAAGGAGACTTTCTGTCAGACTGCTCTACACGAGAATGACTGTAAGGCCATCCCAAGCTGTGACTACTGTGTCAGCGAGGGCATCGGAATCTGTATGGAATCATCTGATGACAGGTGACCACTTCTCTACATTGTATAATTAAGAGATGTTACGTTAATTACCCTTTCTGCATTAATTATTTTATTTATCTTAAAGTTTTTATCTGAATTTACTATTAATTATAATGATAATTTAGGAAAGTTCCTATTTTAGTAAGTAGAATTTCTCGAAACACTTTCCAACAGGAATGATATTATGGAACAAAATGTTAGAAATCTGAATTACACTTATTTCCCCTTACAGTCGCTGTTCCAGAGGAGAGGTTTGTGATGAAGGCTGGTTTAATAAGACAGACTGCAGTGTCTACACCTCCTGTCACACCTGCCTTACAGGAAGTCCATACTTCAACACACAGGTACCTTATATACAACTGTTCATACTTAGTGGGAAAGCACACATGAAATGGCGAATAGTTACAGATTCTGCGAATAGTTAGAGATTCTGACTAGAAAATTAAATCTCAACATTTTTAAAAAAATGAAATCCTCAATCCTGTATGTATTTCCTGAACTCATCCTTTGTAGCCCTGTAAATGGTGTATGGACTGTGCCTCTTGTATCAGGGCTGAGGAACAGTGTAATAATCACAATAATTGTGAAGAGAAGTCGGCCATTACGTCTCCTCCCCACTGCCTGCAGGAGAAGTGTGACGTGGGACAGTGTAAGGACTGCCTACATGACCAGGGCTGTATATGGGCCAATTGTATACACCAGGGTAGGTACAGCAGACATTTCAAATAGTGGGTTAAAAAGTAGGTCAAAAATTAAATGGTAAAATATAGCAGTTGGATTTTGACTTAAATCTTCCAGATGATGAAATATGAAGTGGATAACATTATGATTAGCTGATAACAAGACCAAACTCTGTAGCCTAGATGTCCAAAATCCTTGTCATTAAGGCAAAACATTCAAAATTCAATGCGGCAGGCAGGCTTTTTTTTTTTTTTTTTTTTTTTAAGCAGGTTTTATACCTTTTTTTAAGTCATTTCTTTAAAAAAATGATAATATCTACTAATTCTTAATTTTTGTTCTCTGAAATTAGTTATAATATGTATTCAATGTTATTCCAAACATTTATTTAGTAGTTAATTCATAAAATGTTGTAAATTTAGAAGAAATATATTGTTTTTCTAATAAAAACGTCTATCTTAACATTTATGAAAAGGGGAATAACTCAATTTTCTTTTTCCACTTGGAAAAATAGAAAATTGAGTTATTTCCCCTTTCAGTATGTCAATAAAATTGATCAATGCGGCCGTTTTTGAACTGATGCGGCGTTGCCTCAGAAACTATTGATTAATTTTTTTTGGGGCCTAAAGTACACACCTTTCACCCTATCATGCAGACTTGCATATTGAACAATACAGTATAATGTAACCTCCATAAAACCGGCACCAATAGGGAAGGTAAAAATTGTGATTAAAAACTTAATTGATTGCTCATTTACATTTTTTGATTTATTCTGAATTAGTGTGTTCAGAAGGACTTAGTCATTACCTCTGTATCTTATAATTATTCAAGTGTCATATAATAAGTTGAACTTGTAGTGTGATGTTTCCTTTTTCAGGATGATACTTCAAGTTGATATTTTGTTTTCACAGGAGAGAACAACATTCAGATTGTAGACACCAGTTTCAGTTCCACCTGGAGATGTACACGGGATGTGGTAGGTGGTGTCTGTACAAATCACAGTGTGTGTCCCCGGAGGTGTGATGAACACACGGACTGTCTGTCCTGTCAGGAGGCCACAGGGAGGGGGGCGGGGTCCAGGGGCTGTGTGTGGAGCTCCGTCAAACAGCAGGTCTGTGTAAAATATAAGGAGTATTTTATTCTCCAAACAATACATCAATTTTGCAAATTATATTAAGAACTTTATTTTTCTTAGTCCATATGAGATGGATTGTTTATATCTAATAGAAAAGTCTTCTTTAGTTGAATTTATTAGTCAGAATATACAAATAATTGTCTTACATACATTACCTGTTTGCAGTGTTTTGATGAGGCCCTGCTGCCCCTACGCTGTGTTGGGGGGGAGTGTGGTATCATCCTACAGAAGGAGCCACAGAAATGTCCAGTCCCCTGCTCCCGATTCCAGATCTGTGCCGAGTGTATCCAGGCTCCCTGGTGTGGCTGGTGTGCCTTCGCCGGTTACGTAGGGGAGGGGATATGTATGAAGGGAGGTACACTTAACCCCACAGGGAAGGGATCTTGCCTGGAAAACAACATAAAACATAGCGAAGGATATATACCTAGTAAGTAGACAATAGGATTTAGTTCAACCCTGCCAGTGTGTTATAAAGACCCTTTTCTAGGAAAGTTTGTCTGTTTGGGAAAAATTTACTACAGAACAAGGAAAAACAAATAATGGCCAAGGGAATTGTTTAAATGCATTTTAAATATATCTTGTAGCCAGGGTTCAGCCAACAAGAAGTGTACAAAATGTAATGAAAAATGTAGAGGAAACTTGCATGACAAAGTACATCACTTCTGATCTGAATTTACATTTTTAGGTCACCTGAGTAAACTCAGGTGACCTATTGCTATCCGTTTTCGTCCGTCGTCGTTCGTCGTACGTCGTACGTCGTACGTCGTACGTCGTTCGTAAACTTTTGAACATTTTCAGCTTCTTCTCTGCAACCACTGAACCAATTTTAACCAAATTTGGCACAAAGCATCTATAAGTGAAGGGGAACAAAAATTGTGAATTTCATGATCCCTGCCCCCCTGGGGACTAAGTGACGGGGCCATAACCACTTAAATTAATTCAATCCTTAAAAATCTTCTTCTTTACTCCTAGACATCAATCAGTCAAACTGTTTGCATGATTGTAACTAGGATTAAGCCCTTTACCAAAATTATGAAATTTATGGCCCTGGGGTCACGGGTTCTAGTGCTAGGGCAGGGCTAAATAAGTATATAGTGAAAATGCATTATTTCTTTGAAAATCTTCTTCTCTGCTCCTGGGTATTAAATAAACCAACTAAGTAGATAGTAATGATGAGCAAGAGTGCCTCTTCCAAAATTGTGAATTTTATGGCCCCAGGGTCAGGGGTTCTGGTGTTAGGGTGGGGCTCTATTGATTATATACAGTGAAAATACATGATTTCTTTGAAAATCTTCTTCTCTGCCCCTGGGTATTAAATAAACTAACTAAGTGCATAGTTATGATGAGCAATTTTACCAAAATTGTGAATTTTATGGCCCCAGAGTCAGGGATTCTGGTGTTGGGGGGGGGGGGGGGGGCTCTAAGATTATATAGTAAAAATACATGAATTCTTTGAAAATCTTCTTCTCTGCTCCTAGATATTAAATAAACTAACTAAGTGCATAGTTATGATGAGCAAGAGTGCCTCTACCAAAATTGTGAATTTTATGGCCCCAGGGTCAAGAGTTCTGGTGTTTGGGGGGGGGGGGGCTCTATTGATTATATAGTGAAAATACACGAATTCTTTGAAAGCTCTGCCCCTGGGTATTAAATAAACTAACTAAGTGCATAGTTATGACACACCTCTATCAAAATTGTGAATTTTATGGCCCCAGGGTTAAGGGTTCTAATGTTGGGGGGGGGGGCTGACTCTATAGATTATATAGTAAAAATACATGAATTCATTGAAAATCTTCTTCTCTGCTCCTAGGTATTAAATAAACTAACTAAGTGCATAGTTAAGATGAGCAAGAGTGCTTTTACCAAAATTGTGAATTTTATGGTCCAAGGGTCAGGGGTTCTGGTGTTAGGTGGGGGGGGGCTCTATAGATTATATAGTAAAAATACATGAATTCATTGAAAATCTTCTTCTCTGCTCCTAAGTATTAAATAAACTAACTAAATGCATAGTTATGATGAGCAAGCGTGCTTTTACCAAAATTGTGAATTTTATGGTCCAAGGGTCAGGGGTTCTGGTGTTGGGGGAGGAGGGGGCTCTATTGATTATATAGTGAATATACATTAAATCTTTGAAAATTTTCTTCTCTGTCTCTGGGTATGAAGCAGATTAACTACCTATAGTTATGATGAGCAAGGGCCCTAATCTTGTAGAATTGTGAATTTCAAGGCCCCAGGGTCAGGGGTGGGGGTGGGGCTCTACTTATATACTGAAAATGAATTAATTGTTTGAAATCTGCTCCTTTGTATTCTTAAAACATTTATTTATTTTTTGATAGGCAATTTTAAGGGTGCCTTTTTAAAATTTGTGCAATGTGTTGACCTTGGGTCAGGGGTTTATTTCACAGTGTTGGGGGCACTACTGATTATTGCTAAATATTACTGATTAGTTGGAATGCATTTTTGTTCCCCTACCTTGCGTATGGGTATTCAGTACCCTTGCGAGGTGATCATGAATAATTCATGAATTTCAATGAATTTACCATAAGCAGGTGACAATCGTTCATGAAACGTTCATGAACTTATTATTGGACATTTTCAAATCAATAAACCAAGCTAAGCAACTGCTAAGAGTATTGTTATGATGATCAATGGTGCCTCTTTCAAAATTGTGAATGCCATATAGCATCTTGCTTAAAACATGAATCAAATTCAATAACTGGAAAGTTGTTGCAGAATGCTCAGGTGACCTATAAGGCCCGTGGGTCTCTTGTTATAAACACAGAAACTCTTACATTATGTAATTGAAAGGGACGCCTATAAATTTCCAAATAACAATCCTGTTCTCTTTCTTTCTCTCTTTGTACTAGCCAATACAAGCCGTAAGTTTTATAATTGTTAAAATAGTTTTATCATTTTCTTACATTTTTTATGCATGTTTTTTTTGTGTATGTGTCATCTGCGAAGCAGGGAGAATCGTTTGCTGTCTCTTTAAATGAATGTTACAACCTATAGGAGTATTCACGCAAACAAGTGACAAAAATACTGTACATTGGCAAATAATCACGATGGTTTTATTTTCGCTATGTTTGCGACTTATCATTTTTCTGTGAAATTAAACCCATCTTTAATGTTTAGTTTTTAAAACCTGTAAATGCTTATACGAAATTTTGAATTAATTTCTTGCAGCGTGAAATTTTAACACCGTGGAATTAAAACGAGTTACAGTAAGAAAAACCTTCAAGCTAATCCCAGGAGGTTTAACTTAACAAGATGCAAGGCCTAAGGCTGATCCTTAAAGGCAATGACACACCAAAAATTCAGGCTAATCCCAGAATGTCGGGCTTAATCCAGCAGCCCAAAACTCTGAACTGATCCCAGAAGCATATAAGCTATTACGTTATCTGCCTGGGCTGATCCTACCAGGAGCCCACAATGCCCAAGGCTGATCCCAGCAGCCCACAAATTTTTAAGCTGATCCTAAAAGCATAAAAGCTATTCTTAATGCTAACTAAGCTGATCCTCCCCATGCACAATACTACTATTGGGTTGATCCTAGTTGCACATAAAATACCAGATATCAAAATGTACCACTCTATATGAACCCTTTATCTTAAAAAGAGTGGTGTCTGGATCAGACAAGTTTGAATTGAAATTACTTGTGTATGGTTCAATACCATGGGCTATTTTTGTCTTTTTGACAAAAGCACAAGAGTTAGGTACAATCAAAGCACAAGTACAATCAAAATATTCCCAATGGCTGGTCCGTAACTTTCATTATATACCCTATATGTTACTACAGCAGGTGACACGTCATCTTAATTGGAATATTTTTGTTTTGTCATATACATTGTATATGATTTTTTGACATTGCAATTTGAAATGATTTATAAAGATATTACAAATTATTCAAAGAAACGATTTTAGTCTGGCGCAATATTTTTTCATTTTTCATCTGTTCTTTTCAATTGCATGTTGTAAACACTTATAGTTTTCTCTTTCTGTGTTGTTCATCACCACTTTATTGTGAAGCTTTTTGTAAAAAAAATTTTTTGACCTGTCTGTCCAGAAATTTCTTATTTCTAATGGAGAAATCTCTCCTATCAGCAAGAAATTCTAAGACTCATACAGTAAAATGTTGACGTTGATCATATACATTTACATATACTCAAGAAAATGTTATTTTTCTTAAAATGGCAATGGGTTATTAAGCACACTAACATTTAAATTTTAAAATTTATTATACTTTGTATTTTTACTGTAGACATACTTTTTAGGTCACCTGAGTAACTCAGGTGACCTATTGCTATCTGTTTTCATCCGTCGTCGTGCGTCGTGTGTTAACATTTGAACATTTTCAGCTTCTTCTCTGAAACCACGGAACCAATTTCAACCAAATTTGGTATACAGCATCTATGGCTGAAGGGGAACAAAAATTGTGAAAATCATGGCCCCAGGGTCAGGGATTCTGGTGTTAGGGCGGGGCTCTTTTGATTATAGAGTGAAAATGCATTAATTCTTTGAAAATCTTCTTCTCTGCTTCTGGGTATTAAATAAACTAACTAAGTACATAGTTATGATGAGAAAGAGTGCCTCTTCCAAAATTGTGAATTTTATTGCCCCAGGGTCAGGGTTTCTGGTATTAGGGCGGGGCTCTATTGATTATATAGTGAAAATGCATTAATTCTTTGAAAATCTATTCATTTGCTCTTGGGTTTTATGCCAATGATTCAAGTATATATATATTTGTGATGAAGAAAGGTGCATCTAGCAAAAAGGTTATTTTTTATGCCCCTTGGGTCGGGGGGGGGGGGGGGGGTTAACATAGTCTGAAAATAAATTAATGCTTTGAAATCTGCTCTTTAGTATTAATCAACCATTTTATGATAAAATTTGCAAAATTTTGAAATATGTGGCCCCAGGGTCAGTGGTTCCTTTGGGGTGAGGTGCACAACTGGTTATGTGGCCCCAGGGTCAGTGGTTCCTTTGGGGTGAGGTGCACAACTGGTTATAAAGTGGAAGTGCATTTTCTCTTTGTTACTCTGATCTACCTCTGGGTATTAAGTAAATAGAGTAAGCATGCTAAGTTTATAATTATGATAAGCAATGGTGCATCTTTCAAAATTGTGAATTGTAAATTTCATGGCCTCTGGGGTGAAACACAAACCAATTTTAATTATTTGAAAGTTGTTACATGATACTCAGGTGACCTATAAGGCCCGTGGGCCTCTTGTTTTCTGTGTAGTATGAATTTAATCTATGTGTATAGAAAGGCAAATGTGGAGTTTGTATAATTTTTTACACTGTAAAATGAACAAAAATAATTATTGTGATTTGAAAGAATTTTGACCCCATGGGAAAAGTTTTTTTACAGGATTTACTAGTAAATTATAAAAATGTTATATTTTTAGAATATTATTCTGAATACACTAATTATCAAGAAACCAATAAAATTAAATGTTATTTAGTAAGGTGTCTCTTTTTCTTAAATAAGAGGAAATACTGTAAACATATATAAAGGGCACATTTTAAAGAATTTTGTATAGAATATCTGTTTCTTTTTTGTAGTCAAAATGTGGACCAAGAAGTCTAAAGGTGTGCCAACCTGGGCCTACAGTTCCTGTCCCCCAGAGAATGAGTGTATTAACACCCACCACGACTGTGATAACGAGAGCGAGAACTGTCACGACACAGAAACCAGCTATAACTGTACCTGCAAGAAAGACTATCTGAAGGACCCTATCAGGTATGTACTACCTGTAAAGTCCTCTATAACTGTACCTGTAAAAAAGACTATCTGAAGGACCCTATCAGGTATGTACTACATGTACCTATAAAATCCTCTATAACTGTACCTGTAAAAAAGACTACCTGAAGGACCCTATCAGGTATGTACTACATGTACCTATAAAGTCCTCTATAACTGTACCTGTAAAAAAGACTACCTGAAGGACCCTATCAGGTATGTACTACCTATAAAGTCCTCTATAACTGTACCTGTAAAAAAGACTACCTGAAGGACCCTATCAGGTATGTACTACCTATAAAGTCCTCTATAACTGTACCTGTAAAAAAGACTACCTGAAGGACCCTATCAGGTATGTACTACATGTACCTATAAAGTCCTCTATAACTGTACCTGTAAAAAAGACTACCTGAAGGACCCTATCAGGTATGTACTACCTATAAAGTCCTCTATAACTGTATCTGTAAAAAAGGCTACCTGAAGGACCCAGTAAGGTGTGTACTACCTATAAATCCTCTATAACTGTACCTGTAAAAAAGACTATCTGAAGGACCCTATCAGGTATGTACTACATGTAAAGATCTCTTGAGAAATCAGTGGGTTACACTTTTCTAGCTGCAGTTCACTGGTCTGAAAAAATTGGGATGGAAGACCATCACTATATAACTTATCTTGCAATGCCTTCAAGGTTTAATATTATGAAGCTAGTTTTATCATCAGGACATAATATGTCTACATTGTATTAATATTTTGCATTTATTTTGTCTCCAGTGGTAAATGTAAGCCTCATTGTCATGAGAAGTGTATGAATGGTACGTGTGTCCGGCCGGAGGTCTGTCAGTGTAACTTTGGTTACGTCGGGAAAACATGTCAGACGGAATGTGATTGTTACGGGAACAGTGACTGTCTGAATGAGCTCTCCCTGCAGGAATGCCACAACTGTCTGAATCATACCAAGGTAGATTTTTTTTTTAAATCAATTGAATTGTAATGTTGGATGCATTATGGGTATCACACACAAACATATGTACAGTATTGGGGTTGTCAAATCAGTCAAAATTAAGTCTAAAATGACATCTCTTGGATACTTTAATTTTAAAGAGGGTACATGTATTTTTATAATTTAGTATTTGGTAAATTTAAAATGTGTAATTAGAGGTCAAAATTGTATTAGCTAACAAACTTACAATAAATACAGTTTTCAATCTAAAACAGTATTTAATAATAAGTACTTTCTATTGTAGGGTAAGCGGTGTCAGTACTGCCTGAGTCGTTTTGTGGGAGACCCCACGGAGAGGAAGCCCTGTGTCTCCTGTTTTGTCTACTGTCATAACCACACCTCCTCCTGTATCTCCAATGACTTCTATAGTGACCCCCACTTCATGGCTAAGTTCTGGCTTAACAACTCTATCATAGATCAGGTAAGTCAACAGTTTTTTTTTCTATTTTGTATTAATTAATGGTTTTAAGTCATCTCTCTATATGCATTTAAATAACTTAATGCCTGTCTAGACACCTATCTTGTTATCTTATGGTGCTTGATATAAATCTTTTGAGAAATAATGACTCACCCAACCTAATGAATTGCAGAATAGGACATTTGTCTGGTTTCTACTTAGTTCAAGCAAACTTTTCTGATCACCCATTTTCTGGTGTTCATCTGTCTGTCTAGCTTCCTCTCTACCATCTGTAAATTTTTCCCATTTTTCAACTTCTTCTTAGAACCACTGGGCCAATTTTAACCAAAGTTTGTATAAAGCATCCCTATGCAAAGGGGATTCTAAATTGTTGAATTAAAGGATTAGAGATATATAGTTTAAAATACATGTACATGAATAAAAAGTGGTTTAGAATTTCACTTCACTGTGTTATAGATATTCCACGGGGTTCAAGATACTGAAGTTCAGCTTAACATGACGAACATCAAACAAAGAAATCATAAAACAATGTTGGAGCCATTACTCTTGAACCCTTGATATAATGAGTTTAATATTGTTGATGCTCATAAATCAGTGACATTAAAATGTGACATTTGAGACTCGAAAACAACATGTCAAAAATGTCATTATTTCAAGGTCATGATCAAGTCTACTGCTGAGGAAGGGGGCACATCTGATTCTGGTAAAAAAAACAAACATCGTGATAAAATTGGATTAAATACTTATTACACAAAGACCTTCGGTAAAAGGTGAATGGATGAAAGGTCATTAAATTGAGGAATAATTTATTAGAACAAAGGACACCCCTAGTTGGTCTTGACTTTATAATGTTAGATATGGAAACCTCAGCATTTACTGCCAGTGAGGCAGCAGACTTGTAAGCAGTTAGTAATGTCATTTTTAGCTCACCTCAACGAAGTTGGGGGGAGCTTATGTGATACCCTCGGCGTCGGCGTCCCAGGTTAAGGTTAAGTTTTTTGGGGCAGTTTTCTTTTTAAGTACTTCTATGTCCTATATTGATTAGACATGCATGGAAGATGCTTCTAGTGTCTTTCATTGTACCAGTCCAAGATTCAGATGCTGCAGTTTAAACAAAGAAATGACCAGATTAATGTTTTTTGGAGCAGGTTAACATTTTTGGTGCAGTTTTTGGTGTAGGTTTCATTTCCAAGTAACTATAAGCCCTATGTCGACCAAACTTGCATGGATTATATATATAAGGATGCATACTACCGGGCTTGCTTCAGATGCTGAATCTGACCTACATTTTCCGGTTGAGTGAACAGGTTAAAGTTTTTGTGCAGGTTTCATTTCCAATTAACTATAAGTCTTATGTTGACCAAACTTGCATGGATGATACATCTAAGGATGCATACCACCAGGCTTGCTTCGGATGCTGAATCTGACCTACATTTTCTGGTTGAACGAACAGGTTAAAGATTTTGGTGCAGGTTTCATTTCCAAGTATCTATGAGTCCTATGTTGACCAAACTTGCATGGATGATACATCTAAGGATGGATACTACCAGGCTTGCTTCGGATGCTGAATCTGACCTACATTTTCTGGTTGAATGAACAGGTTAAAGTTTTTGGTGCAGGTTTCATTTCGAAGTAACTATAAGTCATATGTTGACCAAACTTGCATGGATGATACATCTAAGGATGCGTATTACCGGGCTTGCTTCGGATGCTGAATCTGACCTACATTTTCCGGTTGAGTGAACAGGTTTAAGTTTTTGGTGCAGGTTTCATTTCCAAGTAACTATAAGCCCTGTGTTGACCAAACTTGCATGGATGATACATCTAAGGATGCACACTACCAGGCTTGCTTCGGATGCTGAATCTGACCTACATTTTCCGGTTGAGTGAACAGGTTAAATTTTTTTGTGCAGGTTTCATTTGCAAGTAACTTTAAGCCCTATGTTGACCAAACTTGCATGAATGATACATCTAAGGATGCACACTACCGGGCTTGCTTCGGATGCTGAATCTGACCTACATTTTCTGGTTGAGTGAACAGGTTAAAGTTTTTGGTGCAGGTTTCATTTTCAAGTAACTATGAGTTCTTTAATGACCAATCTTGCATGGATGATACATTTAAGGATGCATACTACCAAGCTTGCTTCGGATGCTGAATCTGACCTCCTTTTTGTGGATGAATGAAAATGTTAGTTTTTGATGCATGTTTCATTTCCAATTAACTATGAGCCCTATAATGAGCAAACTTGCATGGACGATACATCTTAGGATGCACACTAATGGACTTGCTTCGGATGCTGAATTCGACATACATTTTTCAGATAATAGACCAGGTAAAAGTTATGGTTGCAGGTCTATTTCCAAAAAACTATAAGGCTTATATAACATTGTATAAACCAAACTTGCATAAATGTTGCATCAAGAGATGAAAACTCTCAAGTTTGCTTCAGATGCTGGATTTTGATTACATTTTCATGAAGAAGAACTAGATTAAATTTTTTATGTAGGTCTATTTCAAAGTATCAGATCAAAATTGCTTAAATATTTTCATTTTTGGAATGTACACTTTTTGTTGGTTAATTGTGTGACTTTGCCTTACTTAAAGACAACATTCGTTGAGGTGAGCTCTGTAATCTCTGATTACCTATGTTTTTGTATGGGCCATATTAAAATAAGTATACAAATAATTTACTGTATTGAATATATTTTGCAGAAAAACATGACAGGACCAAAACCGAGAGATGCCATGTGTATAGCGTGTCAGAACAACACAGAAGGGAAGAGATGTGATCGCTGTCAGGAGGGCTACTTCAGGGTGAAGAAAGAACACAAGACACTGACAGACGTCTGTATCAAGTAAGAACTGCTAGAATCCCTAAACTGAAGTTTGTGACCATTTCTCAGACTCCTCTATTTCTGCCATGGACAAAATCAAACTGAGTATTAATGTAAAAGAAAGGGGATGTAAAGTTGTTTTAACAAATTCCAAATGAAGATAAACAATATTGAAATTTGGTTATGATAATCTAAAATCACTTTGTTAAGGGTAATAAGGCTGTAAATTGTCAATTTAGATTTTTTACACTGTAACAGTCATGAGTTTATTCACAAAATACATACTAAAGCAGGCATTGGGTCTCAAGTGGAGTTTTAATAGTTCATAAACATTCTTCAAGGTTTTATGTTGTAAATTTTACATTTAGGTGTCAGTGTAATGGACACAGTGATACTTGTAAGAATGACACCGGAGAAGGTTGTCAGTGCCTTAACAACACAGAGACCCCAGCTTGTAAATCTAATTCTGACCCACAGGCAGAAAAGTGCTGGCAGAAACAGGTAGGTCAACAACAAAAATCTAACAATGACCCACAGGCAAAAGAGTTCAAACAGAAACACGTGGGTCAACACAGAGATCCCAGCTTGTAAATCTTACACTGACCCACTGAAAGAAACAGGAAGGGTACTGATTACAAAAACCTTAAAGGTCAACGCTTAACCCCCCCTGACCTGAAAATGTAGCAATTTTTTCTAAGAATTAATGAAGAACAATTCATTTTCTAGGTGATTTGACTTAATACAAATGTACATTGCCTATATCTTTTCTGAATTTTTTCATGTTTACTATGTAAAATATACTAGTTATTAAAAAAAGCAAAGTTTTACCCATAATTCTGGTTCATTGTTAATTCTGTTTCATTTCTATCATTTTATAGTGTTCCAAATGTAAAGAGTACTTTATTGGTGAGCCGACAAAGGGACATCACTGCTACAGACAAATGACAGTAGATAAAGAGTACTGCTTTGACCCCAGCACCCAGACCAACTGTAACCAGAACCCAGGGCCCCTCTACAAGGGAAGAACCGTGTTTTTTGCTGTACAACCTCGGTACCTTAATGTGGACATCAGGATCACCATAGACGTCACACATGGAGGTAAACAGTTCCTACAGAATCAAGTACAGCCTTGCTAATATTAATATTTATGTGTTATAGATTACTGCACTTTGTCTCTTGAAAGTGAAATGGAAATTGTCAGTAAAATATGATATGATAATTTTTTTTGATCTTGTGATATGTTGTAAATAAGATGCTTATTAGTTTTTTTAAAAAATCATTCTTAATTATATTTGAGACATCATTAAACTTAACAGATTATAAAAAAGATCCTAAAAGTTTGAAGAGAAATTATGTGTATTATTAATACGAATGCAGTTACATGTGTCAATGAAACCTATCCAAAGTTTAGTTTTTAATAACCAGATTAATTTGTACTTGCAGCTGCTGACGTGTATTTTTCGTCAAGTGAGAAAACATTCACTGTAAATGTTCAACAAGGCACTGGTGTACATATGGTGGAACTAGACTCGGACTTCTCCACTCTTCCTGACTCACTTCAAATACATACAGGATTCCGTTCACGGAGAAGTATTTTTAATTCGACCTCTAACACGTCCCACCCGCACATAACGCTGCAGGCTACAAACTTCCACACATATCACACAGTGCAGGAGACAGGAGCCATTATTAAGTTTGAGAATGTCCGATCACGTTTGGTAGTCACATTACCGCTTGACCAGCATGACCTCAGAACGTCCAAGTTTTACCTGATTATTTATGGCCAGGGTGATGGTAGAGGACGGGGAACATTTGGAAACCTGTACTTCAGACAAGATCAGCCACACATCGATTTGTTTGTGTTCTTTTCCGTATTCTTCAGCTGTTTCTTCTTATTTCTTGCCACCTGTGTTTTATTGTGGAAGTTCAAACAGGCTATAGACACCCAAAGAAGTCGTCAACGACAACAAAAAGAGATGCTACACATGGCTTCCAGGCCTTTTGCTAAAGTCCTAGTGCTTATTGAACCAGAATCCTGCATTTATTCTTCTACTCCAGTTCCTAGAAGAAGAACCAAATATACCAAAGTCACTTCAAGAAATCCACACCACCTTCCCTCCCTAACTCCTGTGGAGAGTACTCTACCCCCACTGACAATGCATAAACCAGTGTTCATGAAAGAACCATTGAGCCCCTTTGATATTGTTCCCATAGCGACTGAACCAACAGCAGACAATATGGCCGCCTTGAGAACTGTGGTCATTCAATTACCGGGGGACCAATCAGTGCCCTCCAAACTCTGTCTAGGGACGGGGCTCACTTACCAAAATAGCCGCACATATAATCATAGCCACCAGAAGTCAACGGTGAGACAGAGGACGGGCCATCAGTACTGCTGAGGTCTTAACTAAGCCATTGATACATTTTACGTCTTGTCTATTTCATATTAATTAAGGTTAGTTAATTTTCTGGTAGGAATCTGCTTCTTTGAGTGGCTGTTTGAGCTACAGCAAAAGTTCTTTAATTCAAATATTTAATTTGATCAATTTTGTGGTTTATATTACTGATTAAGTGTTGTAAAGCAGAAAATTGTTGTATATGGATGCCAAATAACTATCCCAATGGATTATATAAAAAATCAGCTATGTTCTGGACTGATCTAAAGTGTCATAAGTGGCAAACTGCATAATATTCATTATTTCATATGCTTTAATATGTACAGATTCAAAGTATTCTGTCTTCTGTCATGAAATTTAAGACTATCAAGTCATGAACATGTACATACATATTCCTATTTTATAATTTTTTTTGTTTTGGAAAGTCAGTGAAATCTGTAAAATAGATAATGCTGGTAGTGTCCAAGGAAAAAAAAATTCTATCCAGTACGTGCCATTTTGATTTGGCTATTGGATAATAAAAACATACAATATGAATGGTTATATATTGGCTCACTAGTATCAATCCTCCTTTTCCCCATACAATTATAAATATATGTATTTTCCCTCCTCAGTTTTATAAGAAATATCTGTGCTGTCGTATGAGATATTCATTGTGACTGTGATTGCTGTTTGAACAAATGTAAGTGTTCAGGAGAGAACTGTGTTCTAAAGGTGCTTTATGAATGTTATATTGTCTGTTCATTTTGAGGCATGTGTACAGTTAAAATTACTATTGCATTGAGATATATTTGTCTGATTTGACTGCTGTGAAATTTTATGACTGTGTTTAATGACTCTGATGATTTAATCATATGTATCGGTTTGTACAATGGTGTTTTATGTATGTGACTTCAAGTTTGTCTTTGTTTTTTTATTATGTTCATATATATATAATTGATATTTGTAATATGTTAAATATTTTTCTGAGAGTGTGAGTGCCATATTTGTCCATCATTTTATAAAGTCGTTGACAATGAATTCATCAAATCATCAAGCACTTGCATCGTAAAATCTCTTGTGTTAGCTACAATGGTCAACATTCCGTAGTGGTTTCAGAATTGTGTAGTTGTTAAAATAAACCATGTATACCTCTTTTTCAAGTACAAATGCTCATCTAGTCCTAGGAATTATATATTTACTGTACATCATTATCTGTGTTTCAGGAAATTGGCATTTCTAGCTTGGTAATTAGTTTTAATCTTAAAATTTATGCATTATAAATAGGAAGTTTTGCACCCTGGTGATTTTTTGTTTTGTGTGCATAAGCAACATTATTAACTTTGTTTTTACAGAAAAACTTTATTTTCATTGATACTAAATATTTGGGCATTTCATGGCAGATTTTCTTTAAAGTAATACTGAATGTTTAAGAAGTACCTGGTAATACTAATGAACAGTCTTGTAAAATGTTTTTGGCCAAAGCTTTTCTAGACAATTTTAAGAATGTGCAATTACATGTATTTTGAGATTTACATTGTCTGCTTTAAAAAGAAAACTGTGATATTAATAACTGTAAAATCATCATTATCTGTGGATGACCAATGTTTGTTGATTGATCAGCCACAATGACAGATTTGAATCCCCAGGAATATAAACTTGTCTGGCACATCATTTAAGTTCTGTCACCTCTGTACTGTAAATCACTTTTTATTCGTGAGAACTTTATTTTCGCGTAATTACGCGAGACAGTGTGCTCGCGAAAATTTAATTCTCGCGTATAATGGTATTGCTTAAGAATATTTAGAGCAATATCCACAGTTCGCAAAAATTTTGTCTCGCTAATCAAGAGTCAATGACTCTCTCGCGAGAATAAGGTGTCGCGAAAATTTAGTGATCTACAGTATTCAATTTACCTCCCAAGATGTAACTTCAAACCAGTAAAACTTCGGTTTCCCGCATACAAGATCTCCCATGAAGTAAAAATAACAAATAATGTTTGAATTTTTATCAATTTACACTTTGAAAAATCATAAATTTTCAGACTATAGACAGAAAATAGGATAAATTATTTTTTCCTGAAAGCCATACTGAAGTAGACTAAAATGAAACCCATCTGAAAACAAAAAAAACATTATTTTTTTGTAAACTCTATCACTTTGCTCACAATTAAATGAGTGTATATTCCATTTGTTTCTGATTTGTTTCTGATCTGTTACTCTAGTCAGTATGCTTTTTAAAATTTTATTTTTGCTAATCCATTTATGTAAAAAAAAAAAAAATCTTGTTTCTTGAAACAGTTTGGCAATTTTGTGGATTGTAAACTATCAGTTATCGTTATGACAGGCTGTCTTACTGTGTGTGTGTTTTTTGCCAAAGTTGTTACATTTATTTGACTGAGATATTTCACTGCTTTATTCAATCAAAATAATGCTTACTTCTTTTATCCCCTTGTTAAAAAGTGCTTTTGTAACCCCCCTCACCCCAATGCCCAGTATCATGATCCAATGATTGTCACTTACCGTATATACTCGCCTATAAGTCGTTTTTTGGGGGAGTTAAATTTTGGTCCAAAAGTCTATGTCCAACTTATAGGCGAGTCATAAAGATATTGGTATTTTTCTGGAAAGTGAAACGTAGCATTTCATATATACTACCCCAGGTAGTATTTCTGACGATTACTGAAGAACACAGTTTAATGTACCTGGTATAATCATTTATGCATTCAAAGATTATATATAAAGTACAAGTACTTACTATTTAAATAGTTTTATTTTTATCTTAAGTGTATATTATTCATTTGTTTAATGATTTAAAATCAAATATCGGCATTATTTAGAAAATATATTAATAGAACACAACTAAAAAGCATCAGTGAATTGATTTAAAATGTCAAACGATTCTGGCAAAAAGTTGTACCAACTTATAAGCGGGTCAATGGCAAATCCCTCCATGTTAACCTAAGAAGAATACAACCGACTTATAGGCGGACCGACTTATAGGCGAGTATATAACGGTAAATTACCTGGTATGTACAGTGTTAGTTGTAAATTTATGCCATTGCCCAAGTTTGTAAAAAGTTTATGTATAAGAATCATAGATTTAGTAGGAAATAGAATTATTACTCTACGTACAGTGTACTAGATTGATATAATCATAAGTATATATAGATTTTGTAATTCCATGATTCCATGACAAAAGAGAAGATAAAGATTTCATAACAATGCATGTATCTGTCAACAGATTTTTTTACTCATGATGAAGATGTGATTTAAAAAAAAAAAAGTAAGAGCTAAATTTGATAGGATCCTCTTAAATGATATTGTATCAAAGTATTTAATAAATTTTGAAAAAAAAACAACCCAGATGACAGCTGAAGCTGGAAGGTCAGGCATGTATGGACAGTTATGTCTGATTTATTTTTTGGGTGTACTCACGCAACAATAATCATTATATGATTTTTTAATCAATTTGAAAGTTATTAATTGCTCAATAGTGGCTAGGAAACTTTGAAATAAAAATTGCTTTAATTATGTTCCGTAGACTTTTGTTAAAATTTGATCTCCTGTATTCTCTTTAAAAGCCTTTTGTTTTACCCTTTACAATGTCTTGTTGATGACTCAGAAATACATGTGTCGAAGCAAACTAATCCCCCTGGCAAGTACTTTTGTATTTATATATACATGTACCAGTTTATTACATTATTATGAGGAATCCTTTATATAGAAAGCTTTAACTAAGACTTATTTTACAGTTGGCATTTGAGTATTAATAATTGTAACATGTACTTAAAAGCAAATTTTTAAAATTATTCATATACATGTATACTGTAAACCAACTTTTATTCACGACTTTATTTCATGATTTACCAGGTATAAACTAGTTCTCGACAATTAATTTTTGCGATCAAGCCTTTTTTGGATCTGTTGTTAATAGACACATACACTTTAGGACTGGTTCGCACCGAGAAATATTCATGATGACAAGGCTCTCGCGAACTTCGCGAAAATTTCTCACATGCGAAAAAAAGTTTGTTTACAGTAAACCAACAATTATTTCCATTATGATCTTTCACACTGTAAACAAACAATTATTTCCCTTATGATCTTTCATTGGTGACTTATCAGTTTGAATTCCATCTGAGATGATTAATTTTTGTGATGCAGGGAGCATTCATCACAAATACATATACATGTACAATGAACAATAAAAGGTTCATAAAGAAAATTATTTTTCAGATAAAGACGCTCCCAAAACTAGTTGGTTTACAGTGTATACAATTTTTTTATATGCATCATTCTGTTTTCAGAAAAGACAGGATGGGATTTCTATATAAAGGGTTGAATGTGTATGGCTTTCCTAAGGCAGAGAGAATGGAATGAATTCAGATATATTTGTACATATAAACTTATATTAACTTTTGTTGCCTGATAGATATTGTACTCGTATATATAGATGATTACTATATCCTGTAATTGTTAGCAGAGTGGCTATGTGTTTGTTTTTTGTTATTCGCAAGACTGTGTATTAGAGTCGAGCACTTGACAATGCAATAAAATGTACTACTTAACACGTGTTTAAATATCATTACATCCCAAACATTAAGTGATTATGACAATATTTATCACACTACAATGATGCTGTCAAATGTCAGTGGAAGAATCGTTAAGTTTTATCATGAAAAGGAGGGATTGCAGTCACATTTACACGTATCAAAGAGAAGCTTACTTGTAAATGTTTTTCTTTGGAAAGATATACTGTAGGAGTACAGTGTACTTTTTTCCATGTGGTATTAACTTACACTATGTACGCGGTCACAAATTTTCCACGGAAATTTGTCCAAGTGTACTTGATGTATATGTAAGGCATATAGTGACAGTCTAAGAAATTCGCCTAATTTTCTACCTGCGGATTAAACAGAAATTGAGATTCCATGGAATTATGACCCCGTGGAAATTAGTACGTCTACAGTTCATGTATATCCACAAATCTCATTACTTTCCTTCAGCATTTTGAAATACAGCATATTGACAGTCCTTTTATACTTTGCAAAATTTGCATCTTGGTCAAAAAAATATTTTATCTGCTCATACACCTAATTCTTTCCATTTTATTAGCTTGCCTGAGCCTTAAATCATGACCCCCAGGGGTATGGATGATCAAAGTCTTACATAGGAGTATATAGATAATATTTATAAAAATCTTCCTCTCAAGACCCCCCCCCACCTTCTACAACTCTCCACCACAACATTGTAAGTTATGCTACAAGTGTGGGGAGTGGAGTGGACCGAAAACCCTTGGCTAACGAATATGCAGGTGAATGATTCAGAAAAAAGTTCTCGGCACAAATGACCATGACTCTCATGAATATATATACATGTATTGTCTTCATAGCATTTTTCTTGGTAAATCCCTTTTCACTCTGATATGCTTTATATTAATACATGTACATCCATGGTGGATAAAGAAGGAAAGAAAATTAGGTCCTATTTAAAGTGGAATATTTTTATAAACAGAACTTCACACACTGAGTCACTGGTATCATTGTATGTATAAACTATATTCTAGACCTTCCCTATTAGGTATATACTTGAGGCCCATGGGTCACATTGCTCACCTGAATCATTGGCCCAGCTTTTTTTAAAGGTTCACCCTTGTAAGACTTAGACTCCCTATTGTGGCACCATCCAAGCAGGGTGGGGGGCATGATTTGAGCAATTTAGAATTAACACTATCCCAGAAAGATTCCACACGTTTCAGCTTTTCTAGTCTGGAGGGTCATGGGAAGATTTTAAGTTTTACTATATATTTCAATGTTAAACTTGGATTCCCTATTGTGGCCCCACCCTTAGGAGGGGGCTTAATTTGAACAATTTTGAATTTCAAATACCCCCCTTTGCTTTTATATAAGGTCTTTTTCAATTTTTGTTCTTAATGAGAAGAATTTGTAATGGCACCACACTATTTTTGTCTTTTCAGTGATTAAAATCAAACAATAGAACTCGTATCAAAAATTGAAGAAAGTGAAACTTGAAAATTTGAAAAGTTATCCAATTGTCTGAATGGAAAATGAATAATTTAGCATAATTTGTGTGGATTATATTCACTTTAAGTAAAGTTAGACATTATTTTAGTTGTTCCTTTTATTTATTTTTTTTTTCAAGAGATATTTTGAAGTTAAAATGTGACATTAAATATTATAAAGAGAACACCTTTAACAGTTGCTTAGTTTGTTAAAATTTTACCCATAGGCAGGGTGGCGGTTAAAAAATGCATTTCAAGTAATCGGTATTTCAATGTTATAATCAGATTCCCTATCACACATGGCCCCACCCTTAGGAGGGGGCACATTGCACAATTTTTGAAAAATTTTTTCAAAAATTCAAATACCAAGGATGCAGATTAAACTTTCCAGTTTAAGTATTAAGCTTTCATAACTATGCACTTAGTTAATTTATTTAATACCCAGGAGCAGAGAAGAAGATTTTCAAAGAAATAATGCATTTTCATATATACTTTATAGCCCCACCCTAGCACCACACCATTTTTTCACAATTTTGGTCTTGCTGATTACAATCATGCAAACAGTTTGACTGCTTGATGTCCAATTGCATTAATTTTAGTGGTTTTTGCCTTCATTTTAAGAATAAATTCACAATTTTTGTTCCCCTTCACCCATAGATGCTTTGTGCCAAATTTAGTTGAAATTGGTTCAGTGGTTGCAGGGAAGAAGCTGAAAATGTTCAAATGTTAACGGACAACGCACAACGCACGACGACGGACAAAAACAGATAGCAATAGGTCACATGAGTTTACTCAGGTGACCTAAAAATGTTAGAATCCTTCTTTTCTGGTAAAAGTCAAACTTTTCTCCTGCTACATTTATTTTAGAGTAGCTTGTTATCTTACATCAAGAAAGAGTAGAAAGTCCCTACTAAATTACAATTTACTGCTGCATTTACATGAAAAAAAACTTTGACATTTTACTTCCTACATCATAAGCTTTTGTTTTCTTTGTTTTTATTAATTTACATAAGAACTACAACTCATCTAGCCCATCCTCAGCTCTACTCATGATATGACACAGTTGTTATAGTTTTTTTAAAACTAAATAACCACAGAACACATAATTCTATTTTTCAATCAACATTTTATTTTCTATTGATAAAACATAACATGACAAGGAAAATTCTATTATAGCCTTTACAAATGTTATTTATGATGAATGAATAACTACATGGCATGATACAACTATCTGTGAAATATACACTGAACAATTCATGGAAGACAATGGACTTCAATATTTTGATCCTTTCTAAAACTTGACACAACAAAATCATCTATTCAGCAATGCCTGATAATATCTTATATAACCTTCAAAATTAAACTACTAATAATACTTGTATTATGAATTCAAAATTGGATTTTTCTGTGAATTTTTAAAGTACACATTTGTTTAATTTTTAAAATGTATTAAATCCTTAAAAGCTAGAGTGAAAAAATTTCATTGGCTGGTCATTATCCAGTCGTAAACTGCAGTACAGAGTATCAAAATTGTCAACCCAGTATCATTTTTACCTGTTCATTTTTTTTAATTGTACAGTCATGTTTTTCGTGTCTTTTAGACCAATCGTAAGTCAAGATACATATACTAGTATTTGGACAGGTATAATCCCTAGTCAGGAGAAGTAACAGTAAACTGACAACAAAAGATCATGTATGTGCAAAATAAAACCTACCGGTAGTTAATTCCTGTGTGCTATAAAATTAGCTTTAGTTAATTCTTGTATGTGCCAAATAAAACCTAGTTAATTCCTGTATGTGCCAAATTAAAATTAGTTAATTCCTGTATGTGCCAAATTAAATAATTCCTGTATGTGCCAAATTAAAATTACCGTAAATCTGGAAATTTTTACGTCGATTTTACTTTGCGAAATCGGGTCAAAATGCTGTTGATTAAGTTTTACATTTCAAAATTTTGTGAATGACCACTGCTTTGTTTACATTTTCTCATTGGTAATTTATTTTTAAGAAAAATATTTTTGCGAATGCAATGAACTTGCAAATTTACTAAAAATTTATCTACAACAAAAATTTCCAGATTTACGGTAGTTAATTCCTGTATTTGCCAAATAAATCCTAGTTAATTCCTGTATGTGCTGAATTAAATTTAGTTAATTCCTGTATGTGCCGATATAAATGAAGTTAATTCCCGTACATGCAAAATCAAATTTAGTTGACAATCTAGTCACATAGCAAATTTTAGTTCAGAGAAGAGTGTTTTCTTTTTATTCAATTCAAAAAATAAATATAAACAGTTTCTAAATCCTTTGTGAATTTTATAGCATATAATGATCACAAAAGTCAGGTGGGAAGCATGTATATAAAGAAAAGAAAACAAATATGCTTATTACAAACACTTACATGGAATGAAAAATAACAAAATTTCAATGATGAACTCACAACCTGGTATCACACATACAACACTGTAGTACTGCCATGTACCACCAAATGCTATGTACATGTTTGTTCACGTGAATATCAACTCAGATATTACATTGATTAAAATAAATAATGCTGATCATTTTCCTGCATTCAAAAAATGAAAACAGCCATCATGTATTCAATACAAATAATTACAATTCTCTTTATTAAAATCATTATGTGCCGATGGTGATCGATGTACATTGAATTGGAATGCTTTTTATTCTACCTTGTCTGTCGAAGAAAATGTTTTTGGGTGAAGTGTGTGTTAAATTAGAATGCACTCTGTATTATCACTTTATAACTTCAAACAGACCAGAGATAGTCTACACAGTGAACAAAGGGATGTAACTCTATTTACAGAAAGTTGTAAAATAGTACATTGTAGGTCATTCTGGTCGTAGAGTAATCTATTCTTTATAATATGAAGTTTTTATTCACCACTTTCTACATCTGCTTACAATGGAAGTACAAATTCTTTGTTCCTGACCCTATGACATACATAGTTACTCAGTTCAAAACGTTAGAACCTGACACTTACTTATTAAACTTTCCACATTACTATTAACCAAATGAATATATTTAAAAATTAAAAAGTATTAGTTAATTAGTATAAATTCAGGGGAGAAAAATTGATATGCATTTGATTTAAGAAATCAGTTAATATATAAACATCAAAACTGTCGCTAGTGCTATATTATAGACAATATTTATTTTGAGCTTTTTTTTTTTTAAATAAAGCTCTTCCGCCACTCGCACTCACACCACAGGACTCATTCATAGCATGGTCAGCTGATATGTCTCAACAGTGTACCAGTAAAGCTTAACAATTAATGCTATTCTTAATTAACAAGTGCATATAATCATGATGAAAAAAATTAAGAAATTTAAAGTCCAATGCAATATTGACAATCTCAAATTACATCTTATCTTGAAAAATCATGAAAAAAAGTTCTCTTATATGAAAACAAAAAATGAAGTTTTAATTCAAGATATAGTTACAGATGAAAATGTGACAGGAGTACCATTTCTTTTTAACAGCTAGAGAACAAAAATAAAATGATCACATAAAAGATCAGCCTAAGTTACAATTATCAGAAAATCAGAATCAAAAAGAGATACAGCAAAATCCACACGTCTCCTCCCTACTGGGAAAAATAATGCAGCACCATGATCTGGAAATAAAATGATTTCTAAGTCAGCCCTATCTTGGTCGGATCTTTTCGTAATGGAATCGGTTGCTCTTTTCCACATAATGTCCGTTCACCAGTTCAAAAGTCTGAGATTTGATGAAGTGGAATTGTTTGCGAATAAACTGATAGAATTCGTTTTCCATTTTCCATATTTTCGAGTCTTTTATCTTGGCTAAGGTCTCCGGTTTAGGGGGCACCTTGTTAGAAGTCCTCCTCAAGTGGGACTTTGTACCTGAAAGAATTATAAAATACAAATAAAGACCTACCCTCTGCCCTTATAGCCACTGATAATAAATACAAGTAATCTTTTTATAGCAACACTTTCTGCAATATGGGACCTTGGTTTATATTGTTTTAGCCCAAGGGCTGGTCTCCACACCCTGCAGTGAGAATAGGAGCCAGTTTACTCCTTGTCTCTAGAAAAATATGAAAGCTTTTTCCTAAACATTGTTGATGTGGGCAACATAGAGCAATGAAATGTGTCATTGTATTGGTACATGCATGTTGTACTGGTCCATTTACGCTTATGCTGCATTGGTTAATGTATTTTTTTTTTTTAAGTACAGTATATGTATGTTGTTAATACCCAAACTAATTAAGATGCGGAGATTGTTGATCAATACTGCTTACCTTCCTCAAACAGTTTGACTGCCCCTCTGAAAAACCTTGGGAGGACTGCCTCTAGGAGAGCCACAAAATCCCGCAGTTCCTCTGTCACCCCCACCACCAGGTAGTGCCGTAATACGTTCTCCTTCGCCATTTCTAACGCCCACCTATTACCTGGTTCCCTAAAACGACAGCAGTTACTGATTAAAAAGACATCTTTTCCTTCTCATATACTTTTCTAAAATGTTTTATCTGTATCAGTTTATCACTACTTCAGAGGCCTGTTCAACACAGCATTTTGAGAATTTCACAGAATTTTCTATTTTTAGCAACACCATTCATTGAAATCAAAAACTGGAACATTTCTTCTAGAAGTATAAGGAATTTTGGCGAGCGCTCACAAACGTTTGCTCTGTTGAACAGGCCTCAGGTATAGGATGAAACAGATCAACATGTTTTGTAAATACTGTCAACCAGCTTTTATTACCACGGCAACACCGTGGAGAAATTTTTGAAATCAGACCAAAACTGTAGGAGGAGTAGCATTTTGAGGTTGACAGTTCACACAACATCAGGAGTCCTGAAATTGGGCCTTTCTCCAAATATTTCTGTACAGTAAGTTAATTTGGGTGTATTTTAAGCATTTAATCCCTTGTTTTTGCTTAAGAATAGATATTTCTTCTATTAAAAGCAGTTTAGTTAGATCATCGCAAATATTTCTCTCTGCGCACCAGTCCTTTAAGTCTCTGTGTCTATTTACACTGAATCCAAAAAAAAGCTTGATCGTAAAAAATAATTGTCACAAACTAGTTTAACCATGAGAAATGGTGTTTCACAGAAATAAAGCTGTCATGAAAAAAAAGCTGGTTTACAGTATAAATTATTACTATGCCCAAATTTCATTGAGGTGAGCTAAAAACAAGATGCATCAAAATACATTGCGGGGAAAAAATAAGACTTGATTGACGTTATTTGTCCCTCATGATGAATGATATTTCTGAATGAGATTTACCAACACATGGCGTCCTGTCCACAGAAAAAGGGAATCTGCAGCCACAGGTGGACGGGGTCACAGTCACTGCCCCCCTTCTCTACGCACTCGTCTAGGGTCTGACAAAAAAATCAAGGTTACGAAATATTAAAATTGGTGAATTAACACTAATTTCACAAACCTAGATAGTGTTAATTAACTAAAGGGTGTGAATAATCCTGACATTTTCATCTGACTTAAAAAAAAAGGATATTCTGTCTGTTAATTTCAATGGTGTGAAATATGCCAGACTGCTATTAAAGTTCAAAATGAATTCAGACAAGAGGCCCAGGGGCCACAGCGCTCACCTGAGCACATCGACTAGAAAAAAGGACATATCAGATCAGAACTGAAAGTTTACTGAGGTTGGGGGGGGGGGGCTTGAATTTTAACCCCCAAGGGATCATGATTTGAACAAACTTGAATCTACACTACCTGAGGATGATTCCATATAAATATTACTAATCATGGCTTTGAAGTCCTTGAAAAGAAGATTTTAAAAGGTTTCCCTATTTATTCCTTATGTAAAACTTTGGTCGGCCATTTTGGCCCCACCCTAGCCCCGGGGGGTCATGATTTGAACAAACTTGAATCTACACTACCTGACGATAACTTCACATAAGTTTCATCTTTCCTGTCTCAAATGGTTCTTGAGAAAAAGATTTTTAAAGATTTTTCCTATATATTCCTATGTAAAACTTTGATCCGCCATTTTGGCCCCACCCTACCCCCAGGGGTCATGATTTGAACAAACTTGAATTTACACAACCTGAGGATGATTCCACATGAGTTTCATCTTTCCTGGCCCAGTGTAGCTGCAGGTCTGTAGCTCTCCGAAAAAAATATATTGATAGACCGGAGAGCTACAGTGCCACCCATTGAAAAAACTGTATATTTATTGCACACAAAAAAGTGCGCTCGGTTCTCGATTTATTTCTCCATGTTTTTCAAACTGTAATCTCAAAATATTACTAACCGTGTGTTCCTAACATATTCTTTCGCTTTTTCCACAACCAAACATTCCTCATAATTGTTGTTAATAGTCCTCCTGACCCTGATATTGTAATCATCGAACATTTCGCTTATTTATACTGCCATTTTGGTTTCAAAGATAATTCGGTCCAATATGCTTCGTTCGGATGTCAACTACGAGAGTACTTGATAGAAGATAAAGGAATTTTTTGAAATCTTTCCTTATTTGCAATTGAGGTAAAAATTTGGAAGAATTAATTAAGAACCGAGCGCACTTTTTTGTGCGCAATAAATATACAGTTTTTTAAATGGGTGGCACTGTAGCTCTCCGGTCTATCAATATATTTTTTTCGGAGAGCTACAGACCTGCAGCTAGGCCCAGTGGTTCTTGAGAAGAAGAGTTTTAAAGATTTTTCCTACATATTCCTATGTAAAACTTTGATTGGCCATTTTGGCCCCACAAAATGGCCCCACCCTACCCCCGGGGGTAATAATTTGAACAAACTTGAATTTACACTACCTGAGGCATCTTCGCTAGCCAAGGGTTTCCGATCCGATACCTACTCTACAACCCTTGGCCCCTCATGCAAACGAATTTGGGCTGCCCCAAGGTTTTTACTAATCGACGATATTCGGCTGAATTATAGTCCCAAAATAAAAGTAATATTTACAAGGGATGAAAGTTATGATATCTTATTTTAATTTGAATTTTTTTCTTTTAATTATATATGTTTTCTTGAAAGGACCACATTAGTCCGTATTCCGCATTTTAGGTGCATCAATTTAAGCCAATCAAATGTCACGGCTCATTGATAATAATTGATACGGCAACAAGTAGAAAGTAGTGTCAAACTCTTGACTAAAAATCCACACTGCCCACAGCTGTATGAAGTTGTTTGGATATATTCCACATGGAGGTCGCTATATTGTTTCAAACATCATATTGATCTACGTATGTTACAGCTATTTTCATTGGACAAATATTAAAGAGCTTCAAGGGACTTAACTCAATTACGGCGATAGGCGGCGCAATGATTCCATTGATAGGACTAAATCTGCCAAGGGTTGTAGAGTAGGTATCGGATCGGAAACCCTTGGCTAGCGAAGATGTACCTGAGGATGATTCCACATGAGTTTCATCTTTCCTGGCCCAGTGGTTCTTGAGAAAAAGATTTTTAAAGATTTTTCCTACTATGTAAAATTTGATCGGCCATTTTGGCCCCACCCTACCCCCAGGGGTAATGATTTTAACAAATTTGAATCTACACTACCTGAGGATGCTTCCCTAAAAGTTTCAAGTTTTCTGGCACAGTGGTTCTTGAGAAGAAGATTTTTAAAACATACCACCAAATTTTCACTATTTCTGAATTACTGTATAGGGGGAAAATAACTCGCGGTGTTAATATTCGCTATATTCACGGTGTTAATAAATCCGTGAATTCAAGAAACAGTGAATAAATTCCATAATCTCCAGGTTTTATTTGGAAATTTGAGAATAGACAACGATAGGGCTACATACATGTACGCGAAGTACATGGTCATTTCGGCCGGTAATTACGAGTAGTACTCGTCATTCAATTAATTTAATTATCACGCTTAACTTAAATTCAAATCAGCAGATAATAACTTGTATTTGTTAAACAAGCTGTTTTAATAGCCAACGCTACATGTTTCATCAATCAAAACATGTGGGTCATGGGTTTTGATTATCGGTGCGTAACTCATGTTACCACGTGTATTTGTTACTGCATTATCATGCATGCATATGAGTTTTTATAGACATTTTGGTTTTAAAAAATCATTCAAATAACTATAGAACTTACTGAAGATGTGGAAGGATATTTCGTCGACCTTTTCCAACATTAACACATTTATTAACGTCCAGTGCTTTTTCATTGTGTTGTATCGAAGGTCTTAGGGTGTACACGCACTCATTGTAATACATATAGGAAAGACATTTGATGTTTAGAGTCAAGGACTTTTGATAACTGTACTTGTTTTAATTAATCGTCAATTTTTTTTTAATATCAAATCTAATTATTTTATTTAAACCTACCCCATTGTTCGTGAAATAAAGTCATAACACTGATTATTAATATCGTTTACATGTAGCTATGGTATGGATAAACGGATATAGACAAGGGAGGTAACTTTTAATATTATACTTTCATGTAAATTAGTTAAATCTGATTGGTCGAGAAACATTTGTTAAAAAACACTACTACCCGCTGAATAATGAAGCCATGCCCCTCAGCGTAGCAACAGTCAACATTGCTTAACGACGGGTGGTATTCCAAAAAATAGCGACTGCGCAGAATTTATGCGCGCACGGTTCACTGTTATATGTATTTGTATAAAACATTCAGTATAATATAATAAATATAGCATGTAGTTGAGTGTAACATTGAAAATTTTCACCCCAAGAAAACCAATGGTTTTCTTGGGGTGAAAATTTTCAATGTTACACTCAACTACATGCAATATTTATATATTATGTACCAATTCCGCGAACTCAAGAAACCGCGATCCTGTCAGATGAGAGAAAAACGTGAAAATTACAACCCGTGAAATGAATCCCTTATACAGTATCTCCCCTTAAATAAGGGCGTGGCCCTTCGTTTGAACAAACTTGAATCCCCTTAACCTAAGGATACTTTGTGGCAAGTTTGTTTGAAATTGGCCCATTGAATCTTGAGAAGAAGATGAAAATGTAAAAAGTTTACGACAACGACAACAACGACAACGACGGACAAATTTTGATCAGAAAAGCTCACTTGAACCTTCGGCTCAGGTGACCTAAAAAGGTGCAGTTTGTTAATATACCACGCATCTTACCATTTGTATGTTTAATATATATGCACATGCATTAATTATCATTAATTATCGGAGTCTGTTTTTTTAAATTAATGATAATACATTACTAACAAACATTACATTTATTGGGTACATTTCACCAGGAACTTTAGACAAAAGCAACTTCTTGATCCAATGAGCAGCGCGTAACATTTTATTTTAAAGTGCTGCAGCACTAAATCATTAAAAATGTCCTATGTTCACAGTAACTTGGAACATTTTTACTTGATTTTTTAATAAAATTAAAGACAAAAGAAAAAAATTGTTGATTGGTGCTAAATTTTGCACCAGCCAATGAAAAGTAGGTTATATTCTAAGTAAGTTAGATCAAATTGAGTAATATTTTAGAGAAAAAGAAGGGGCTATGTCACTTCAGGCTTGACAAATCAATTTTTTTATGCATATGCAAATAACTTATAATCCCTATTAACCGCCCCGGGCGCTTAGAAAATTGCGAAAAGGGGGCGGTTATTTTGGTATTCTCTTTCTAAAATTTAATGTCATATTTTAATTTCAAAAAATCTTTTGAAAAAAAAAAAATAAATTCAAAGAAACACTAAAAATATGTCTAACTTTACTTTAAGTGAAGATAATCCATCCATATTATGCTAAATGATTCATTTTCCACCAAGAAATTGGATTATAGAAAGTTTCATTTTCACTTTCTTCAAATCTTGGCAGACTTTTGATACGATTCTAGATGATTTTAATTACTGTACAGGGGGCCCTTATTTCCTGACAATTAAAAAAGACCTCGAGGGGCGCTTATAGGGGTAGGGGTGGTTAATAGGGATTATAGTGTATTAAAAAATGTTGACATTCTTAACATGTTTTAAAAATGTTGGTATTGATTTATCAACAGATCTGATGATTAAATTCATAGGTCTCTCTCTCTTAAAAATTAATACTGGCTCATTAATTCAGAGGGATTTTTTTTTTTAGAATAAAGGAAATCTGCAATATCTCTTGTGCAAAACCTTGATACAAATCTCCTTAATATTCTGCTTATACATTCATGCTACAAATTAAATTACAAAATCTCTCTGTAAAATTAATTTTCTTCCTCCCTCCTTCTAACAACCCCCTTGAGATAGGAAATTACATCACATGCATTTGATTAAACCCCCGTTATGCCTCCACAATCAAAGATGAATAGTGATTTATCCCAAGTCAGAATCTATCATAGAAATCCATCATTTGCATTGGACCTCAAAAAACACTGCTTAGACATTTTGTCTCTGCATTGAAACATGTGGAGCATTGC